GAGGCGGCGCCGCCGTTACTGCTGGCGCCACTAGGGGGCGGGAGAGGGGGCGCCGCCGACACCGCGGTGATCTGTACCTGCAGGGGGGAGAGAGAGAGGAGACGATGAGGGAATACTTCAGCGACTGCCCACCCTGACCCCCCGACCCCCGACCCCCGACCCCTGACCCCCCCTCCCCTCGTCCTCCTCCGCGCTGCTGCCTCCTCCCGCCACGCTGGCGGCCCTGGCGCGCTCCAGGGCGGCCGGGCTCCCGGCGCGGCCCCCCCCCTCCCGCTCCGCCTCCCACTGGCGCAGGACCTCGTCCAGGTTGAAGCGGCGCCGGTAGCTGACCAGGAAGGAGCTGACCTGCGGGGCCGTCTTGTTGCCGATCACCTCGGCGATGGCGCCCAGGTCCTTGCCGTAGTGCCGGATCGCTGGGGCGCAGAGCAGGGGAGCAGGTCAGACCGCTGCGGAGCACCAGCCCTCCTGCCCAGCATCTCTCTCCCTCTCTCCCCTCCACACTCATCCTCCCCTCTCTCTCCCCTGCATACTCGTCTATCTCTCTCTCTCTGCATTCGTCTATTTCTCTCTTTCCTGCACACTCATCTCTCTCTCTACCCTCCCCCTCCCTCTCTCCTGCACACTCATCCCTACCTCTCTCCCCTCCACACTCATCCCTCCCTCTCTCCCTCTCTCCTGCACACTCATCCCTCCCCCTCTCTCTCTCTCCTGCACACTCATCCCTCCCCCTCTCTCTCTCTCCTGCACACTCATCCCTCCCCCTCTCTCCTGCCCACTCCCCCTCCCCCGGGGGCAGTCACTGCCCGTGCCCTTACCCTGGACCGCCAGCAGCTGCTCCTCAGTGGTCCAGCGGGTGCTGTACTTGGGGGTGACCTGGGGGTGACAGAGACGGGACAAGTCAGCTGCTGGGGGGGACGCGGCGCCGGGGGGGGCTGGTCAGGAACGCCGGGGCTGCAGCACGCTGGCGTACCTCCAGGGGGCGTGCACGGTCGATGCCCTGCTCCAGACTGTGCTTCAGGCTGCTGTTGATCTGCTTGATGCTCTGCACCTGCGGCGGGGACAGGCAGCGTCAGGGCAGGGCAGGGGGGCAGCGGGGCGGCGGGGCAGCAGGGCAGCAGGGCAGCGGGGCTCACCTGTCTCTTCAGCGACACCAGCTGCGAGTCCAGCTGCTTCAGGGTGGTGACCGCAGCGTCTGGGGCTGCCGACACGGCAGAGATATCGGACTGGCTCAGGTACATCCCCCGCGGGGGGCGCCGGCGAGCACGCAGGGGCGTGTGCCGGTACTGACACCCCTGACTCTCCTTCCGGGCTGGACCGGACCGTCCAGAAACACCCCCCATGCTTGACTGCTTCTGGGCCTGACAGACAGTGGGAGAAAGGACTTAATACAGACACACTGACTGGACACTCCAGTACACTAACACTGCACTGAGAGAGAGAGGGGTTCATACAGACACACTGACTGGACACTCCAGTACACTAACACTGCACTGAGAGAGAGGGGGGTTCATACAGAC